CCAAGTTCCTCACTTTCTTGGTTCACTATATCCACAAAAAATGACATTATTCGTATATAGCAAGGCACGGGACCGAACATTTCGTTCACTATATCCGGAAGTTCACTATAAACCGTGTTCACTATAGAGGGGTTTGACTGTATTAACATATGAAAAGCAAAATATATTAATAAGATAGTTTGAATAGCACAAAAGGGGGGGGGGATAAATTGATTCAAAATACAAAATAAATATCAAAAAAGGCCAAAGTAAAATAATAAAGTTAAAATAAAAAAAATTGCAGAAAAATACAAAACTAAACACATATAGGAATATGCAAGAACATATAAAGAAAGAAAGCAGAAGGGTTGTCATGTGCATAATAATATATTTCAAAAATGATTTAGAAATATTTTCGTAAATAAGTTGCAAGCTTTCAAAATGTGAAATTAAAGCATAAATAGAGGGTAGTAGGATATACTTTTAAGGTGCGTTCAAGAACCACATTTGATTTGTCTGTTACCTTGGATTGACTCAAAAACTAAATTTGCACAAGGCAATAATATGATAGTTATATACTGTTATATAAAGGGATAGCTATATACTGGATAATTCAATGTTTTTAATTAATAAGAGATTGAATTTTCAATGCAACATTTTAATTCTATGATTTTTAAATTAACATTTAATGAATAATATTGCAAGAGGCTGTTGATCAGTTTTAAAATTTTTAGTAACAGATTTGTCCAATTTGGATTTGCAAATGAAATAAATATCAATCTAGATAACTGAAAGATTTTTATGTAATTATATTCACTTATTAATTTTACTACAGAATGTTACAAATCATGGGGTATACTCATATCTGGTTAACAAAATGTTAGTAATATTTAACATAAAAGCAAAAAACTGTTAAATTACTTTGAATTCTGTAAGCTTTTAAAAATTATTTTTAGTTCATTGAAATTCAGCATTTTTGTGTGCACCTGTTTTACAGAAATTTAGAAAAAATAAGAAGTTGAGCAATAAAAGTTAATACAAAATTCAATTAATTCTGACCTGAAATAGTGTTTTTAAAAGCTCTAAACGTGATTCAAAAACAGTGAGTTAGAAAAGAAAAATTGAAGTGTTGCTTAGAATTCTGTACAGTTATATGTAATTCCTAAAGTTTGTTATTGTTGCCTAATAAAATTTCCTTCTTAAAAAGTAACTTGAATTTTAAAATAATATATGCTTCGTACATTTTCTTTATTCATAAATTTAAACATGTTTTAAAAAATTCATATTATTCTTTATTATTGTTTAAATGGAAATTGGAACATGTAAATTGAATAATGTACAAATTATATATCATATCACAACTAAACATAATCACAATCCATATACATTAAAATCAGGTGAAAATAATGACTGGATTGTGTATACTTATTTGAGAAAAAAATTACTTGGTATGATGTAGTTTTCTCACTTGAAGATCAAAAATTCTTTGGTTATTATAGCATAAAATTACCTGTAAAATATATTTTTTATTCCTATTTCATTGGTATTTGCCTGCAATATTTGTTTATAATCCCTACTTATTACATTTTTGATTTTAATTATAATTCCAAATGCTTGAAATTGAACATTGCATTTCTTAATTATGAAGTAATCTTATAGTATTACTTTGTCGTGCAACATTTTATGATAAAAATATTTATATTGTTATCTAAATTTATGTACCATTTTACAATTATTAATAAAAATATTATGCATTTATTTTTATGACAAGATTTGTTTAAGCCTAGGTCCTGTCAACATATGCAATTATAATAATAATTAAAAAATTGTGAGACATTATTAGAAACTATAACAATTTTCACCCTTTTATTAAGTAATCATTTTGGCTAAAAATTTAACAAGTTTGTATAGTAGCCAAAACTTAAATAGGAATTTAAAAAACAGAAGATAAATAGTTTTAACGACAACTGAGTAAAATGATTTGGTTTAAATTTTATCTCAATAAAATCCAGAAATAAATGTGCATAACCAAATCTGTATTAATGCTCAAAAACATTTTGGTCTATTTATCATCAAGGGAAAAAAGAATTTTTGTAAATCATTTGTGGCTAGTGTCTTCTGGTCTCAGTATAAAAATTGAGTTAAAATTGTATTAAAATTGTATTAAGTATCTATATTATATAAAACGCTAATACGTATGTATCAATAAAACCGATGATATTTCTTTTGTCGCGTTGGCAGCAGTTTTCCTTTTTAATTGATAGGATTCGGCGCGCAAGAGCACGTAGTGAGTATCATATGTCTAATCGGGTGAATTCTCACCGAATTATCAAAAACATTCTCACAAAATTATCTTCATCGAAGCCGATGCTTTACATCCGGCGTTCAGTACTATTTCATATTGTTTTACAACACATGGGTTTAGCCCTCTGGTGGGAAAGACTTTAAAACAAAACTAACAACAGTTACTTTTCTCAACAACTGAAATTTAGAATAGTGTGATTAAGAAAAATATGCGAACTGTTTTCAATTTCAAATTAATATTTAAATGCACAGGCTTAGAATTTTCTACAGTGAAAAGTTTTTGGAACTTCAGTGTTCAAAAAAGTATACAAAAGCTAGACGTTAAGAACGTATCCAATGAGCGAGCAAAGCGAGCATCGGATTTTGAAGCAATCCGAAATGAACTGCGAAAGCAGTTCCGGGGGTTGGCGAGCGCCAGCGAGCAGGGGGCGAAGCTTCTTAGTACAATATATTATTCCTATGGAAATCGTATTATGCAAATTTTTTTGAAAATAGCATTCTTACATTTCTTCTATTTTTACTTTCTTTTCTGTCACTATATTAATTAAAGAGAAATAATTTATATTATTTATTTTTCTAATTATGTCTTCATTTATGTATCATGGTTATAGGCTGCTTTTCTTTACATTATATACAGAGTATCCCAGAATGTTGTGTACAAACTTGGAGGGGAGTTAGAGAACATTTGTTAAGAGAAATAATTACGGGGGAAAGCAAGGTCGGAAATTGATAGGTGGAGCTGTATGGGAGCTCTCAAGGCCCATGTGTGTAGCTTCCTCATTACAGACTGTCTGGGCTCAACATGAATCGCTTTACAAACGCAGGAATGGCGGACATCCACTTCATCTGCAGCCTAGCCAACAGAAATAGACGTGCTGCTGTTTGGGTTGGGAAAGATATCTAACGCGACACCAACCAAATCATCAATTGTTCTCTGGAGTGTATCATCCCCTTGCGAAATGTGGATCCTTCATTAGTCTGAATTGAAGGTACTGGGCTCAGGCGAAAAACAGGAACATTCAAATTCGAAGAAAATCTCTTACATGCTGTGGACCGAAATTATGGTAGTAGTGTATGGGCACTTGCCGTTTTCATCGGAGCATCTCGATCGACTGTCCCTCACGAACTGCAGAGCAGAGCCTTGCATCTCTTTCATATTCAGAGAGTTCAGTTATTATGGCCGGATGATCACCCACTTTATGTTGTGTTTGCTAAGTGATTTATACACCAATGTACGGCAAATGTGCAATTTTCCAGCTCTCTTTTGTTTAGCGATAACGCAACCTTTTCATGTGTCTGACACGCTTGTAAATTGTAAGGTAGACCTGGTACCATAATTCTCCACCGCTGCTTCTATGATCAATGAAATGCCAGGTATTTTTCGAATATAATTGCCAGTCCATGTCGCGTAGGTGTTGTGCGTGCATCCTTGTAAGTCATACACTGAACTCTTTTGTTGTGTAATAAAGTGTTTTACACTATATTATGTGTTGTAGTCTTTGTGTCTATTTATTGCATGAGGGTGACGCCCTGCTTTCCTATATAATTATGACTCCTAATGATGTTCTCTACCTTGTCTCCAAGTTTGTATGCAGCATTCTAGCACATCTTGTGCATACATATATAGCTTTTTTTAATTGTATTAATGGTTGCAAAAGAAATTATTCAATCATAATATATTGTTTGTTCTTTCACTTTTCAAAAATAAAGCATATGCATTAGAGCATTGTTTCTCAACTGTCAGTCTACAGACTGTTGCTGATCTACAGATTAATTTTGTTTTAGAATTAACTTAAATTTTATTTATATTTAAATAGATCCAGGCTTAAAATATCTTTCATTTGAGAGAATATATGAGTGATTGGAAACAAGCTGCTTAAAAAATTGTTTATGTACAGCTAAAATTAGCCCATATTACAACTTCACCACTTTGCAATGAAACGCTAGAATATTTTACCAGTCCTTTAACTAAATCTGGTTGAGAAATACTGCATTAGGGATTACAAATTTAGGGTTTTATCCAAAGAAAAACAAAAATTTTATTGAAATCTAATAATCTTTTGTTGAGGGATTACAAGTGCTTGTTTGCTGAGCATTACACAGTTAAACATTGTCTATTTAAGAGGTTGTTATTAGATACATTCCCAAGTTTCCACAAGCAATGAAACAAATTTTGATATTTTTCATCCCTTTTTGAAACTAGGGATTTAACAGATTTAATATTAACTTGAGACCTCTTTTGTCTTCAGTTTTAGCAATAATTACAAAACACTCTATATGGGAAATATTTTTTTTTCCTTCTAATTATCAATTCAGCTGTATCATTGATCATCTATAATATGCATTTTTAAGTATGTTAAATTTATTTTCCAGATCAGTAAGTTAAATTAGAATTTTGCAGCAATATCGTAATCATAAATTAGAATTTTACAGCAATATCAATAATTGATGAATATGCTGAGATTTCATGTAATGGTACTGTAAAGAAATAAATTCTAAATCTTTTATTTCAAAGATTTTTTTTTTTATCTTTAATGTTTTGTTTTTTTTCTTTCTAAAAGGTAAATAATATTCCCTTTCAGATCATTAATTTAATTTATACTCAAAATGCACTCTGAATAAACAAGAAACACATGTTTTTAAAATTAGTATATTTAACAAAGCATTTATGCATTTTTATAAGTAAAGTTAATGTGTATTCTTATTTCCCATTATAGAAGATGATGACTCTGATGATCGTGATCCTGATCAGGAAGATTCAGATCCTAATGCTGGTCGCTTTGTCAGATACCAATTCACTCCCCAATTCTTGAAGCTTAAAACTGTAGGAGCTACGTATGTATCAATTTACTTTTTTAGGATTTATATTTTTAATAGCCTATGTATTTTTTAAATGAATTATTAGAAAAATATTCTTGTTGCACATTTTGAAAATCAGTGTCAAATGTTTTAGTTATTTTTTAAAGGGAAAAAAAGTATTGCAGAATGTTCCAAAAGTATTATAATAACTGTCAAACAAATTGGTATATAAAAGATAAGAATGAGTTTTTAAATCTAGACTAAGTTCGAAATGCATGCTTAAAATAGCCACTACTTAAATTGTGTTTACGAAAATGGACATAGCTATTTAAAAGAAAATGAATTTAGACTATATTCAATTTTTTTTTTTTAGAACTTAAAAATATTTTCATTTTCTCTTAACTTATGTTGTGCATTTTCAGGCCTAGCTGTATTACAGTATCTAAATATAAACGCCAATCTGTTATCATATTTTTTTCCTTCCAAATATTCTTGAATTGTTACTGCCCCTTGTTTTTTTCAGTGATTTAAACTAAGGGATTATTGTAATTTTAAGAGCAATCTGTAACCATAGTGGTTGCTTGTTAATCCTTATATACTGCATATATATACAGGGAATTTATTTTCTAGTCTTGAGGGGCAACCCTGATGGCATTTTATTCAATTTTATAAGCTTTTTTCTATGAATATTGTTCTTTTTTAATGAATAAACTAATGAATTCAAGTAAATTTGTTATGCGATAACGGCCATTTGCAAATGTCACTTTGTCTTGGTACATTTTATTGTTTTTAACAGTTGTTTTTAAACAGTTGTTTATAACAGTTGTTTTTAAAAGGTTACTACCGGTTGTATAAAATTTTAATAATGGTAGTAAATTTTTGTTGCCTGGATTTAGAGTTTTAAAACTCACTTTAATATTTAGAGTTTTAAGAGAAGACATGACCTGAAAAGTTACATCTTTGTTATATCATCGCTTTGAAACTAAACCGTGGTAACTCAAAAAAGCAAGTTTTTCAGGAGAGCGATTTCAAACTTTCTGCGCTAATGCTAATCGCGGCAATGCGATGACAATTTATCTGCTCTCTAAATTAATTTTATGGAACTATAAAGATAACAGGTTGTTTTTTGTAAAAGGGTGACTTTTTTTTACACAAAATGACCCAAAGATTTCATTTTTCGACTTTTTTGAGTTACAACGGTTTTGTTTCAAAGCGACGATATATAGCCATCCTGACCCTGAAGCTCTGAACTTTGACCTGTAATGTAATGACTATGCATAGTGTTTAAATAATTAAGGAATGTAATTTCTTGTTTAGTAGTTAAATTTAAATCGAAAACAGAAGAGGCGCATTACAAGCTGTATCCTTTTTTCTTTTTTTTTTTAAAAAACACTCATTTTAAACTGTGTTTATTTTTGTAAATTCACCTTTTGAGCTTTGTCCATTTGTTAAACATGCATTATGAGGTGTTCAGATTTCAACAGCTGGCAATGATTATTTAATGGGATTTTAAATAGTTTCTAATAAAGTATAATGTTTGTATGAAAGTAACTAAATTGAATTATTTTTTATACAATCAATAGTATCATTAAACATATACGTTTTTTTTAATTATTTTATGCTAGTTCTCTGTTTTCTAGCTTTTTTACATGATGAACTGTAGTGTTCAATTTTTTATTGCAGGGTTGAATTCACTGTTGGTGAAAAGGCGGTAAACAAATTCCGAATGATAGAACGTCATTATTTTCGTGAAAAGTTGCTGAAGACCTTTGACTTTGAATTTGGTTTCTGCATTCCCAACAGTAAAAATACTTGTGAACATATTTATGAATTCCCTGTATTAGACACCGATACTTGTAAGTAACAACTTTTTAGTTTTACTTCTTATTTATAAATCTTTCCCTTAAAATAGCTTAAAACTTTGAAACTTTCATTTTATATTATTCTAGAAAATTGATGGCAAATTGTTTAATCACTATAAGCTAATAGATTTTTTTTATGGACATTTTATTTTTTACCTATTAGATAAATACTTCTATATTTCTATATATTATAACATAATAGTTATTTAATGCACATAATATGTAACCTGTAAGCATGACATGATGGTGTACTATTATGTTTGTATACTTAACCAAGGTTTAAATCAGTGATGGGGAAACTACGGCCCGCGGAAAGGTTTAATCCGGCCCGTTTAAGAGAGCCGTCGTGAGAATGTTTGAACACGTTCTTAGTTCGTAATGTGACGACCCGCATAAAAACTACCTGCGCCGATATTCAAAACACAATAGTATTCTGGACAAATCCATGCGACCTAAACAGATGACTCACCTTCGCTCGAAACTTCCAGACACTCGCGCATTTTCGATTCATTATTTTGTTTTCTCGAAAGAACCGGAAAAATCCAATTCCCGAACAATCCTTGCAGGTAGGTATAATTACAAGCGAGGCCGCCCGAAGATCAGTTAGTTAGCGACTTAGTCAGTCATCTGCAATGACCCGCTGTGACTCGAGTAATTGTTTGTGTAATCCCCGAAACTCCCACTGCCTCAATAGTCCGTGGACCGAAGACTCAAAAGCAGTTCTGAACTGATTTTCGTTCCTACACTCGAGTGGCAATTTTAATCTTCCAAAATATAATTCAATCTTGCCTGGGAAATATAAATTCACGAAGTTCTCCAAAATATAATCGGCCATTAATTGACAGTTATCAAAATATTGAAGAACTATTTTAACTTCATGAATACAGAATTTTGCCCATGAATATCCAAAGAGGAGGGTACTGTGACGTCACATGATAATGAATTGACCAATCACAACCAAAAAGCTTTGCGATTTGTGTCTGCTCTAGTTCTTGTTTCCTTTACTTCAAACTGCTTTACAATTTTTGTATAAACGTTATAAAAGTTTAATAAAATTATAATTTCATTTCAAGAGGACCCGCGCAAGAGCATTAGTTAGCAGTAAGCTTTCGTCAATTGCGTGCAAGAAAAAACACTTTATTGACTTATCAACAGCAGTACATTATGCACAATTTAAAGCAGATGTTCAAAGTCTCCGCTGTTCATGTCGAAGCAGGTTTGAGCACGCCGTGGATATGTCCAATAAAGTGTTTTTTTCTTGCACCGGCAGTGACGTCATACTTTGTTTTTCATATTTTTCTCGTAAACTATGGATCGTACAGGAATGCTTCTTTGAGCAGTTTTTATGTACTCCCAATGAGGAATCTAGCTGTGCAGAGTTTATGCGGTCGTTTCGGGACCCCCTGTATATATTTAAAAAGAAAAGTTGTTCAATAAAATTGGGTTTAAAATTAAAACTATTATGCTTTCAATTCTCTATTAAAATGCCTCTCAGTTATTTTCTTTTATTGTTAAATTGTGCATTTCAGGTGCTGAAATGATTGCACACCCCTTTGATACGAGATCAGACAGCTTTTATTTTGTGGATGATAGGCTAATAATGCACAATAAAGCCGATTATGCCTACAACGGTGGACTGCAGCAATGAGAGAACACATTTGGGCCTATTATTGCACACGGCACACCTCGAGGAGAGAGCATCACATGCAGCACTACGGGCATCTGCCCGAACCAGTGGTTGAATAAGAGTGTCAGAAATATTTGCCTTTCTTTCTATTTATAAAACATACTAGTTTTAGAGTACACAATTTTTGGTTTTCATGGTAGCAAACTAATTGAAAAATGCTATCTATTTTATACTTATGTTGTTTTCAGGTTAAATTGAAAAACTGCAAGAAACACAATCTAATTGTAGAAGTCATTGTGGATATGTAAGGGACAAACTTGGAATGTTCGTGTTGTGTTGCCGTAGTAACAAGATGTGAAACAGGTGTATCAAATATTCATAGTTTGGTGAAACTGAGATTTTTTTGTACTTAGGCAACTAACTTGATTTAAAAAATAAGATTGTGTGTGGAAAATACATTTTTTTTTAACTTATTGCTTAGACAGACATGGATTTTTAACTCGTGAATTAACATTTGACAAACATTAAATTAGACTTGAGCATATAACTACAGTGGCTAGAAAAAACAGTGCATTTTTCAAATCTTGTTCATAAAAAACGGACAATTTTCTCTATCTCAATGTCAATCCTCTTTCATTTGGTGTGAACAGTTTATATTAAAAATTTGAAGCTAAAAACTTATTATAATTTTTTTTTCTTGGCATTACGATTATTAAAATTATTTCTGTTGCCTAATTGATTTAATTGTATAATTTTATTTTATTTTTTATGTTAGTGAAATCTACATTTTTTTATGATTCTTATAAAAGCCAATGCTATTTTTATTCAAATTCTTTTCATTTTTTATATTATATTCCTTTTTTACAAGAGTATAAACTGCCTTGTGCGGTTTTTATTAATTGTGTAGGAAAATTTTAGTCCAAAAAAATATAAAATGCAGTGCAACTTTAAAATTCTTATGTTTTAAACTTGTTGTTAAAAAAGTAATAAGCATCTTTTTATTATTGAAAACATATTATACTTCTTGAATAAGTGTAATTTGATTTTGGTGAACTTATATTTTATGTCTATCTACAATGCTAATTCAACTATTGTACTTACTCTGAGTCCAATTATTTAAGAAAAAAGGCAAAGATGTCTTTTAATTCTAAATTTGTTCTACTTTAAATTTGCCTTAGTCTGAAAAAAAAAATTATGCTACAGTCTGATGGTAAGTCTTAGGAAAATGAGTGTTGGTGATTTTAATTAAGACTATTTTTAGATGTTTGGAATAAACCTACTATTTATCAATTAATGTTCTATAACAATTATTTTGTTACCTTGAACCTTGTGAACAAAAAAGCGCTATTTACTCTAGCCACTGTTGTCAGAAATTTTTTTTCTTCAGAAATTTGAACTGTATTGAGAAAATGTTCAATGTTCTAGCATATCACTCTATTTATTTATGGAAAAAAAAAAGAATTTAAATGATGGTATTTTGAAAAGGCAACATAATTGACAGTTATGCTGTGCACAAAATATCTTGATTTAACCACTGGTCATTGCTTTGCATTAGTTGCCTTTCTTGCGTAATTGTTTCTTAATTGTTGTGGTGTTTCCCCAATATATATTGAACGTTTTAAACTAGTCATTATGTATCTTCTAAATTAAGAAGGATGACAACTGGCTTTTTGGCGAGGTTTTAATTACATGGTGCAGTAAATTCTCTGAAAATGTGAAAGTTAAAGGCTTGTGACTCAAAGACTTTTGTATGCATAATTTTCTAGTCTTGTGATAAAAATGAAGAGGTTTGCATTTATGCAATTAAACCGTGAAAAGATATAGAAAATACTTAATTTGAATTGAAAGATCTGTTGTTATTGGTTTGCATTTTTTTTCTTCACATCTGTATCAAAAGCAGTGCAATCAAATTATGTGTTCAAGTTTTATTTTATAAAATGCTTTTTTAAATTTTGTTTTTATTAGTTTTGAGTGAAATTCTATTTCTTGATTGTGGTTGATATCTAGTTTTGGGAAGTGTTTGTTTTGTTGTTAAATAGTTTATAAATTTTTTTAATTTACGGTAGACTTTCGATATCTCAAAGTTGAAGGGACTGTAAAAGAATTTCGGGATAGCGAGTTTTCAAAATAAGAAGTTCAGAACTAAATATGCACTAAAAATAAAAATATATATTCTAAAATATTGCTCTAAAAAGTAGAATCATGAAACATAAGACTAACTACTATTAAATACGTATATAATGATAGTTGACTATAAGTCTAAATACAACAATGATTATTTTATTTTTAAAAGTAAGACAAAAATAATTATGCATTAAATAAAAAATATTGGCTTATAATAAACTTACATTTTTCGAAAAAATTCAATTTCTATTTTGAGAAAAATTTGACATAACAAGGTTTTTAGAAGAAACTCTTTGACATAGGAATTCAAATTAACATAATGTGGATATATAATGTCAAGGGGAAAAATATTTTTTTGACACAGCAAGGTTTTCGAGATATCGAGAGTGTACTGTATATCCTTTTTAGTGATGTATCAATCAAAAAATTTATTATTTTTAGGTAAAAATAGTTTTTGTGTGAGCTATTTGAAAGGAATGAAATAAATAAATGAAAAAAACCTAACATTTTGTGTGAAATTAATCGCAAATAGTTCTTAAAGAAAGCTTTTGTGGGTAACTAAAGTAGTTGAATGTAATATATTTATCTTATATTCCAGTTTTATTATTTCATTAACGTTGCATTTATATTTCTTCTCTTGGTACTAAGTTTCACTGGTGCCTGCAGAATTTTCTTATATCAGCATAGATTTTTTTATGGATTTTATATGTTCATATTTATACATAATTGATAATTTTGATTAACAACGATAATAATTAATGTCAATCGAAAATGTAATTATTACCTAAATTTTTTGTACAAATTCTGTTGAGCCTCTTTTCCTGGGTATGCCACTGTACTATGTATATGCATGCTTACTAGTACATTAAATTTCTTTTTTTCTTAAAATAAAAGTTATAAGATTTGTCAGTAGTTATTATTTGAAAGTATTATTTGTACGAAATTTTTTTTTTAATTGTTTGTGCTTAATTTAAAATGTTAATTCATAATTTAAAAATAAGGAAGCTGGTGGTTTGGAATGTTTTAAAAACTGATTTTTTTTTTCATTAATAGTTGAAGAAAATTTCCTTTGATAGCAATAAGCCAAGTTTAATACCTTCAATTTTTTTCAACTATAATGCCCATGTAAGTTAATAAATTAAAGTTTGAGTTGTAAAAGGTGCTGATTCTTTATTTTTGGTTAACAGGGACCATTTGTGCACTCTTTTAGAAGTAAAATAATTGAGGTGGTTTTTGATTAAATACTTTTTTTTATTAATATTATAGCATATGCATGATGATAAAATTTTGAAGCAGAACTGTAACAATAAATGCTAATTATTTAATTTTCCATATGTTTTTTTATTGTTTTTTTTTTTAACTTTTCTGTTTCTAATTAACTGTGATAGTTGAATATGGTTGCTAACTACATAGACTCATTCTAAATTTTCTGTTTTTAAGCTTTTAAATGTGTTTAAAAATTTGAAAAAGGAAATAAAATTATTTTTGATGCGTTAAATTTATTTAAAAATGTTTAGTGCAATGAAAATTAATGTGATCAATTGTAAATTATGTTTTATTAATCATCTACGTTTAATTAAATTATATCTTCTCAAAATTAACTGTTATTTTTCTGTTAGTTCAATCATTTTCTTGTTAGTTTTTTATTATAAAAGAAATTTTTAAAAATGTAAGTAAAACAGCTTGTAAATATAATTGTGAATTAAAATGCTGAATACAGAATCCTGATTTTAGTTTTAAGAAAAATTATAAGCTATAATTTAAATTGATTAATTATATAATTTTTTATATTTTTATCTTTTTATGTCTTTACTTTGTATTGAGGATTTAAAAAAGGCAACTTGCAAATTGTTTGTTTTTTTAATTTTGTTTATTTTGCCTAGTTATATTTATTTATAAAATTGGATTTTATTATACATTTTTTAGAAGTTGTTTTTCATTTTCTTAATTGATTATTATATAAAATGTTCTATAACCACTACCCTTTTTTAATAATTCTTGTCAAAAATGAAGTAGGTATTGCAAATTGGTATCTAAATAAGAAAAGAACAGAAATACTTATCAAAATAAAACGTATCTCTAGGGAAGAAGAGAGGACTAACAACATCAAAACCTATTTATTTGCCATTGGAAACAAAGAGGAGTTGAAAAGCCTGTAAGTTGCAATGGGTTATCAAAAGAATTTTGATGTTTTTCATTCCGCCTTCCATGCTAGTGACTAGACAGTTTTGTTTTTCTTCTGTAAGTATTAATGATTAACTCCCTTAAATATTAATAAATTAGTTATGACCCCTAAAAAGTATACTTTTTTAGTCTTCATTTTTGATAAGGATACTAAAAGTATTTATTAAGGGTGGCGATTTCTGAACACTTTGTATAATTTATAAGATGTATTTTATGTTGTTTAAGAAGCATATGTTTAGATGTCATCTTGTAACTAACTGTTCACCTCTGAACAAAATATTTGCACAGATATACTGCTCACTAAATGTTATAAACTTATAGATCTGTTTTTATTACATTTATATTTATGCAATTTTTTTTTCATCAAAATCTTTATATTATTACATTAGTGAGTGTAATTTACTTGTGTAGAACAAAGGAAAAAATGTTGCATATTGTTGTTGTGCTTGTTGTTAATATCTGAATAAAAATTGTGATATTAGATCTTGGACTTATTGTAACCTGATTTATTATTATTGCCTTAAAGGCAAATGATTTTACTACAAAAACTTTATTTCTGAATAGTTTTGGTGTTTGCAATTATTGTTTAAGAGTATTCAGGGTGACCAAAATTAGACAGTTTTCAAAAATGATTACTAAAACCGTTAATGTTAAACAAATAATAAACTGGCAGCAAGTCCAGGTAACAAAACTTAAGTTTTGCCTCCTTCTGTTCCAGATTTTAGGTCTAAAGTTTTTCCAAAGGATTGCGCTGAAAATCTCTTCTCTCGTGTTTCCCTTTTGCATTTCAATATCTGCAAATTTCGCCCTCTGCTTAAAACATGCGATTTCTGCTGATATTGAAGATTTCAAAGATTTTGTTAAGTCATTTTTAAGTTGTTTTTTCTCTCCCCTCAGTGGACTGATCGTTAAGACACAGTTCCCAGCAGATTACCGAAGTCAAGCATCACTGGCTGCGGTCAGTGTACGGACGGGTGACCACTTGGATCAGTGTGTGTAGGTACCGAGAGTGTGCGGTATTGGTCCTCGTTAAACTGTTCTACTGTAAAGTGCTCGACTTCGCGTGCAGGTCGCCGGGCTCCCGAAGCGAGGGTGCCATCTCCTCTGCAGAGGATCAAAATTGTGATGGCATGTCTTTGGATCATCCTCAGGGATATTTCCCAGGCCGTCGCCAATAGCCCATTGTATAGCTCTAGTGCGACGTAAATGAACTACAATTACAATTAATTTTTGTTTCTTTGATTTACAGGTTCATTGACTGCAGCGCCATCTGGTAAAAAAAATTTCAAAATAATAAACAGGGAGAGAGGAAAAAAGTTTCCCCATCCCATGGATTGGCTAAAAGTTTTTTAAATTTTTTTAAACGATAGCAGTTTTCTTGTGGACATTTTTAAAAAATTTTCAATCTGATTTGGTGCACTTTGTACTAACTCGTGTTCGTGTACTCTATTTCAATGAAAAATTTTGATAAAAAGCTTTTAGTTTGCGCATCTTATTAATTGGTGTAGAATAATATTGATAAAAGTGATCTTATACTTTATATTCTTAGGAGGCAACTGTTAGAACATACCGATTTGTTGATGGTTCACGATTGTTTTTAACCTGTACGCAGAATGAGTATACAACTAGTATATACTCTGGCAACTATAAGTATGGGCACAACCTGTTTTTCTGAGACGAATTTAAAAATTATATTGAGGAACAAACTTTTTTTGCATTTATACTAGTACTTGATCTAACCTACTTCGTCTCTGGTGATTTTATATCTGAAAATAAGTTCTGTACCGAGAGCTACAGATTTTTTTTTTCAAAATTTTATTGTATATTTATTTATTTTGTCTTGATGCACACAAACAGTAGGGGGTACCCATTTAACGAAGTGTGTAATAACCACATGCATATCAAAATAAAGAGCTATTTAAATATCTATTTTTACTTGAAGCCCTCCAACTGATGTGAACCAACGTGCACAAAATCTGCACGTTTAAAAATAAGACTTAAGAAGAAAAAAAACGTTATGACCTTCTGCTTTCGGCTGCTAACACGGAACACCGTAAGCCAAGGATTTATACATCGCATCATAAACTAAAATGTATTATTAAGTTCTTCCTGTAAGACCCACTCACCAGAGAAGTGACGATTCTTATTAGTCATTCGAATGAATTTCGAAAACTAGTTTCGGACTGTATTATTAAATACAGTACAGAACCCGTTATCCGGAAATCAGAAAACCAAAAAACCGGAACGAAATTCGATAAATTTTCCCGCCATTTTAAAAAAAAAAACATTTTTTTTTTACTCATAAGATTTTAGGATTTTTCGTTCTTTTTTGAAAGATGTTTACCTTACCATCATTTTGGAA